CCATCCATCCATCCATCCATCCATCCATCCATCCATCAATTCATCCATCCATCCATCCATCCATCCCTCCCTCCCTACCTCCATCCACCCATCCCTCCATCAATTCATCCATCCCCCCATCCATCCATCAATCAATTCATCCATCAATTCATCCACCCATCCATCCATCCGTCCATCCCTTCAGCCATCCATCTATCCCTCCCTCCCTCCCTCCATCCATGATCCATCCATCCACCCTTCATCAATCCATCTATCCCTTCACCCATCCCTCCCTCCCTCCCTCCCTTCATACATCATCCATCCGTCCATCCATCCATCCATCCATCCATCCATCCATCCATCCATCCATCCATCCATCCGTCTTCTGGAGCCACCGATGTCGCAGCTGCAGATCAGGAGGAGGATGGAGGAGGAAGGTCGGCTTGAACACAGCAGCACTGAAAGTCAAGCAAGTGGAGCTAAGCACTGACAAGGAGCCTAAAGAACCTGGAGGAGGTGCCACCTGGACCAGCACCATCTTCCAGGGGATGCTGGAAACCTGTAACCATCCCCCTGTAATCCAGCATTTCAGTGGGGTTAGGGGGACAAACAGAGACAAAGGACACAGGAGCATGAGGCCATTCATCAATCCTAGGTGAAATGACAGAGTGATCATATTTTGACTATGTTAAGGAAGGGCAGTAGGGCAGAAACACAATTACTGCCCAGAAGCCCTGTTTTGCAGAAGGTCTTTTCAAACTCACCCGTCATCTCTTCTTGACACAAATACAGGTCTGGTTGATAGAGGAACTCTGATAAAATAAAACTGCATTTCTTCTGGGCATCTGATTTATTACAGGGTGACATTTGGATCAAAAATGTGTATTATATTGCATTAAGAGGGCGCACGCTCAGCTCAGTGATAGATCTCCAAAGGTCATTATTAATGGAGATGCATCCATGAGCAAAGTTCTGTCTGGAAAGGGTCTCTGGGCTCACTTTTGGTTTCACATCAGTCATTTCCTTTTTGAGCTCTTTTGGAAACAATACAGCACCTTCCTTGGGACTGTGAGAGGTGGCCTGGCTGGTCCCCAGCATCCCCAAGGACCTGCTGCACTCATTGAGGCATACCTCATCCCTCTGCTCCCTGCTGCAGTGGCGCCTGAGTACTGGTGGCATCTGGGGGCAATCCTGTAGCAGAGCTGACTCTGCTGGAGCCCTGCTTCATCAGGGAGCAGCCCTAAGGTGGGCTTCTGAAGGGGTCAGCCCTCAGCAGCAGCGATGACAAGGCTGGGTACCAGTGGCAATCACGCTCTGCCCATCACCCAGACCAGAAGCCATCCGGAGTGATCCCCACAGCGAGCATCCCTTGGATGCCACCTCGTGCTCACACCTCCTGTCCCCTCCTGCGGTGACAGAGCTCTGGGATGCCTTTGGGCAGCCTCCACCTTCCTGTTGCTTTGTGCCCAGCCACCACTGGTCCTGATGCAGGGACGGTGCCTTGGGCTAGGCTGGGAGCTGTGGTCCTGCACTTCTGCTGACCAAGCTGTTCCCTGACTGTGCCCGGCACAGCAGGAAAGGGAACAAGTTTCTCGTGCAAAGAAAGCGAAACTTGGCACTCCTCTTCCCCCAACCAGGCAAACCACCGTGCATGCAAGTACATCCCCTCGCCCTGCTTCTCTTCCTCCCTGCTCCCAGCTTCTAGCGAGGAGAGCTGCTGCTCAGACTGCTCTGTCTTCACTCACCCCAGCAAGGAGGTAAGTCACCCCCAAGAGCAAGGGACACGTGCCTCCTCTGCTGACACTCACCGGTCCTTGCTCCCTGTCCCACTTGCCTCCTCCACAAGTAGGAAAAGGAGGAGAATACGATGCCAGGGGGAAGCGAGGGCCACAGTAATCTGTCCTTGCTCCATGCGGTTGGGAACATCGCTGGGTTCTGCAGGCTTGTTCCAGGCTGAGCACCCCAGGTTTTGGGGCAGGTCTGTGCGCTCAGGACAGCCCTTCTCTCTCCCAGCTCTATGTGTTGGACAGATGGATCTCTTTCTGCCTGTTTACCCTTTGTTTATCCCTCCTCTGTTGTGTCTTTTTGTACCCCTTCCTCACTTGTGATCTCTATCCCATGGGACCACTGCCAGTATCTCAGTGCTTCAACACTTCTCTGCATGCATCTGACATGCAACCACCCATCCCAAGGGCAGGCAAAGGGTTTATGCTGTGCTTCATGTCCCGTGCTTTCCAACCCCACAGTCCTGCCTTGGCCACACATCAGATTTTCTGTAATATCAGTGATTTCAGATCACATAAGGAAACACCCTTAAAATCCTTCTGTGAAGTTATTTTCATTACTGCATGCAGTGTTCTGTCTGTATTGGACAACACACGGGTGCCGTGGTAGACCTGTGGATGCACCTGATGTGTTTGCATCCAAGGTGTGTTTGCTGTGTGCTTGCCTCCATCCCCAGTTCCCTCACCCCTGTGTCTATAGGGAGGCAGGATGCACCCTGGGCTTTGGCTGGCGACCAGCACCCTGGCAGTGCTGCTGGGCATGGCCCTGATGGAGGACGGTGTGTGCCGGGCACCGGACGGCAAGGACGGCTTCCCTGGTGTCCCTGGCCTTGATGGGAGGCCGGGGCAGAAGGGTGACATGGGAGAGCCGGGTAAGTGGGATCCAGGGATGTGCGGTGCAGGGGACCTGGGAGCCCCAGGCCCCTTGGTAGCAGCATCATGGGCTGTGGGAGTAGCTCAGGTTATGACAGCCATGCATGGACTTCTCCCCCTCACCACCTCTCTGCAGGGAGATCAGCACAGAGGACGGGCATCCAGGGACTGAAAGGGGATGCAGGTGAGCCAGGGCCTCCTGGCATCCCAGGGAACAGGGGTTACCATGGCCTGCCCGGTCCCCCTGGGTTAGCTGGGCAGCCAGGGCCAAAGGGGCCCAAGGGGAAAGCTGGCAATGTCGTGGAGCAGCCGCATCCTGCCTTCTCTGCCTCGCGGAGGTCCCCACCGTCCAGGGGCAGCACCGTGGTGTTCGACAACATCATCACCAACGAGGAGAGCTCCTACAGCCCCCAGACCGGGGAGTTCACCTGCCGCATCCCCGGGATCTACTACTTCTCCTACCAGGTGATCTCCAGCGGTGACCTCTGCCTGAGCATCACCAAAAACAGAGAGAACGTGGTCAGCTTCTGCGACTCCAACAGCCGCCAAGTGCTGCAGGTGAACTCGGGCAGCAGTGTGCTCAGCCTGGAGCAGGGGGACCGGGTCTCCCTCAGCACCGACGCTGCCCGGGGCAGCATGATCTACAGCGGCTCCGAGGCAGACAGCGTCTTCAGTGGCTTCATGCTCTACCCACTGACGAGCTGATGGGTCCATCCACCAGCCCAGACCTACCTGTCTGCATGGTGTTTCCCCCCCTGTGAGTGCATGGGATGGTTCAGTACTGCAGCAAACACGGCTGCAAACTGAGTCACCAGATGGGTCCTGTGGTTCCATAAGTGCCATACAGTGGCCAGGCTGTGGGTCAGCACTGGAGCAGTTACCTCCATGCTGAGCCTTCCCACTCCATCCTGGAGGCAGAGGGCATTCAGACCCCACACTGGAGAGGTCCAGTTGTCCCTGGAGACAACTTTACCAGTTACAGTTCTTTGCTCCTGAGTGGGAAATCACTGCGTGCCACTGCTTCTGCTACATCAACCATTGCAAACGCCTTTCTGGCACGCAGCCACTGCTGCTTCTCACACCCTTCTCCATCTGCATAAATAAACCCTTCTTCCACAACAACTGCTTGGCTTTTCTTTCCTATTCATGATTCTTCCCCAAACCATCGTTGTCCTGGGCCCCTTCCCAAGGCGCCCAGTGGGAGAAGCGATCCCAGCTTGCCCCTGGCCGATCACAGAGCCCAATTGCAAAGGCAGAGGGACAGAAGGGACTGAATGTGACAGTTATAGGGAGGAGCAGGAAATGTCTGGGACTAGCCTGTGTCTGTCCTTTCTTGGATGAGTCGAAGGTAGCTGTCCTGTACAAATACAGGGGCAAATAGAGGAAGACCATGCACTTCACCCACATGGCACTCTTTGGTACCCAGACTCTCCAAGGAAGGGGAAAAGCAGCTGTGATCCTCCAGCCTTTCAGCAAGTAGCTGGTGCAGTGCTGTGTTTCAGCCCTGGTCTGTGAACAATGCTGACAACGCACTGATGGTTTAGTTGGTGCTCAGTAGCACTTACCCTGATCAAGGACTTTTTCAGTCTCCCATGTATTCCACACCACAGCACATCATGCCCAGTATAGAAACTGGGGGGAGTTGGCCAGGAAGGGCTCATCACTGCTTGGGATTGGGATGGGCATCCGTCCATGGGTAGTGAGCAGTTGCATTGTGCATCAGTGTTGTTCGCTGGTTGTATTTTTTTGTTTGATCTCTGACTCTTTGTTATCTCCCTTTTCATTGGTATTAGCATCAGCATTAGTATTATATTGTACTTTATCTTAATTATTGAACCCTTCTCATTCCAACCCATCGGTTTTACCTGTTCTCTGACTCTCCCCATCCCACCATGGCAGGGGGCTGTGACTGAGCAGCTCTGTGGTTCTTAGTTGCTGTTTGGGCTTAAACCACAAGAACAAGAATCCCTGCATGTGCCATACCCTGGGGATGCTACTCCCATGTTGGAGGGTCAGATGTCCCCATTGCTGGAGTAGTGAGGAGGAGGTCAGCTCAGCAGTAAGGAGCAATATCCTGACCAGGGTTTCGGGGTTCATAGCAAACCCAGAACCCAGCAGAGGTGGTGGAGCACACGCAAGGTGCAGGGAGGACAGATGGCCTGCGGGTCAGAAAGGAGGAGAAACATCCTCCAGTGCCATTGCCTGAGGGTGCAGCTGGTCCCATCAGAGCCAGGCAATGACCTTGCACAACCCCTTCATTACACTCATGTCTCTGGCTACCTGGGGCTCTGCTCCCCATCCATTCGCTGCCTTTCTGCTCAGAAATCAGTCCAGGACGTGCTGCACAAGTGCAGATCTCACTGGATGGACAGGAAAGTGCTTGCTCAGAGGAAGCAACCGGTCAGGAGGATGTGAAACTCATCTGGGGCTTCTGGATCCCCAAGGGCCCTTTCCTAACTCTGAGACTTCCTCAGGGAGGCTGTCACGGACTCACACACCCTTTGCTGTGCCGGCAGCAGTGCCCACAGCAGACAGAGGGCTCAGCAGCACTGAAGCCCCCATCAGAGGTAAGAGGTGCTGCAGGGTCCATCTCTTCGGGGGGGGGGGGGGGCTGCATGGGTGCTGGGAGTCCATCAGTGTGGCACAGCGCTGGGCTATGTGAGAGGAGGCAGAGAAGGAGACAGAGGCTGCACACATGTCATGGGGAGGAGATGCACGCTGGTCTTGCTGGGGGAAGACCTGTTCCTATGGGCCAAGGATTGTCCTGGGAGATCCCCAGGTGATGGGGGCTTGAACCTGAGGGGCAGAGCTAGGGAAGTGAGGATGCTGCCAGAGGAGGGCTGGGATCACTCGGGTCCACCACCTGGCACTTGGAATGAGGGGGACATTGAGGGCTCAGCCATCACAGCCAGGAGCTCCTGGTGCAGTCAACCTCATAGCACCTCCTTTGTCCCATGGCCTGGAATCCACCAGCCTTTCTTTCCCTTTCCAAGCTCCAGAGCACCGAAATGGGGCAGAGCTTCTGGGAGCAGCTCCATCTGGTCCTCGCCCTCCTGCTCCTGAACCTGGGGTCTGCTGTGACTGGAGATGCCCATCACAGCTGCTATGGGGTTCCAGGCCTGCCAGGTATGCCAGGTCTGCCAGGCAAGGATGGCCGGGATGGGCTGAAGGGAGCCAAAGGCGAGCCAGGTGAGTAAACAAGGAGGGGAACCACACAGGCTGTTGAATGGGGGCCATCGGGTCCTCTATGGCTGCTTTGCCTTGGTTTGCAGGCATAAGGAGAGCATCCTCTGTGGACAGGGCAGGAGGAAAGGCAGCTGGAGAGAGACAACCCTGTCCTGCCTGAGGGAAGGGGCTGGAGGAGCCTCTCCCCACATCCTGCCATTGACACTCACTCCCTTTCACCACCCCACAGGAATCCCGGCCACTCCTGCAACGCGAGGGCCCAAGGGCATGAAAGGGGAGCCAGGCAGCCCTGGCTTGCCAGGCAAGAATGGCCCCATGGGTCCCCCTGGTGTCCCTGGAGCCCCTGGAGCCCCTGGCATGGCTGGAGAGCCGGGAATGCCGGGCAGCTACAAGCAGAAGCACCAGTCAGCATTTTCAGTGACGAGGCAGACCGGTGAGCACCCCTTGAAGAACATCCCCGTGGTGTTCAACCACATCATCACCAACACCAACCACGACTACAACACCACCACGGGCAAGTTCACCTGCAGGATCCCCGGCCTCTACTACTTTGTCTTCCACACCTCGCAGACAGCCAACCTCTGTGTCATCCTGCACAAGGATGAGCTCAGGATGGCCAGCTTCTGTGACCACAAGACCAACAGCATGCAGGTCAGCTCTGGTGGGATCCTCCTCCACCTGGACGCTGGGAACCAGGTCTGGCTGACAGTGAATGACTACAATGGCATGGTGGGCATCGGCAACTCTGACAGCATCTTCTCTGGCTTCCTGCTTTTCCCGGACTAGAGGACCACCAGAGCCCACCCCAGCATGCTGGCCTCTTCGCCCTGCCCTGCAAACACTGCTGCTCGTGCCAGGCCTTTGCTGATGCTCCAGGTTTCTCTGCTGGCTGGGAAGCCCCAGGGAAGAGGTCAGCCCTAGCCCCAGACACAATGGCCTGGCCTGGGGACCGCGCACAGGCAGCTGCTGAATGGGGCAAACAGGCACATCTGGATGCATCTGCACCCAGAGTGATGGTGCTGCTGGCGCTGCCACGTGCATCCCTGCTGAGAAGCCCAGATAACCTGACTGAGGCAGAGGTCTCTCTGCACCATTCCCCTTCCCAGCAGGACAGCCGTGTGTCTTGGAGCAGGTCTGCAGCAGTGCCTTTGCCATCACCCAGCTATGGAAAGTGTCAATAAAACTTTCCCCAGCGCATGTGGCCCAGCCTGTTTGCTCCTCCGTGACTTGTAGGCAGAGCCCACGTATGTCTGGGTGAATGTTGTGTGCATGTGTGGCATCAGAACAGCGCCAGGTGCTCCCTGGCTTGTCCATGTTCAGCATCAGGGCATCACACAGCATTCACAACCCTGGCTTTGCTCGGTGGGGTAGCACTCACAGCCACACTGATTGCAGGAAAGGGGTGGTTCGTGTGCCCATGCCCCTAGGTCAGGGGGGACCGAGACTCCTCCAGGTAGAGGCCCTCGTGCTCTTGTTCCCCTCCAGTTCAATTGCAGAGGGCCACAGAGCATGCAGAACACCACATAGCCATGCCTCTGGTGGCTGGGACATCCCAGCCTTAACAGGTTCGGGGCAGGGGAAGCACTGGTTTCCCTGAGCCTATGGCCTTTGTGGCTTTGGAGGCTAGAAAGCCCACCAAAGCCCACCAGAAGAGTCCTCCTGGTGGCACACTTTGTGTAGTGGAAAAGGAGGTCATCACCCATGAACATCCTGTGCTTCACCACCACAAGCATCAGCAGAAAGCAGGACTGGAAATGCTTTTACCACAGGATGGAATCGCTTCCCATCCTCAGCATTTAGGAGAGCCTGGAGAACAGATTCAAGGTGATGGATGACCCTGTAGCATCCTCTGGTCTGAGCTGGGTATGTGCAGAGAAGCCTGGGGGATGATAGCTCAATGGATGCACATCTTTGCAGTCCTGAGGGGTTACCCCAAACCTGTCTGGAGCCCATGGCAGCGTTCCCCATAGCAAGCATGACCCAGGGAGCCTGCAGGGCAGAGCAGACACCCCTCTGCTCCCCAAGGCCAGAGCTGCGTGGCACAGGGTGCTGCTTGGGGATGGCGTGTTCCGCTGAGCTGATGGACAGCATCTGCGGCGGATCTGAAAGTGCCGCTGCAAAAAGGGTAGGAGCTAAAGATAAAAAAGGGATGTGGCCCAGATCCTTTTGCAATAACCCTTCCAGCAAACTTCTGCTTCTCCTCCTAGGCATTTCCAAGCAGGACGCTGGTGTGTCCTGCCCCATCTCCCCATCTGTGCAACGAGAACCTCAAGGTAAGAGCAAGACATGGGCAAGGCCTCCAGGTAAGAGCACATGGGGAACCTGGAAGCATCAGGATCCTGGTGCTTGATGCCTTGCATGGAGCAGAAGAGAAAGGAGGATGCTGGGCTGGAGGTGGTGGATAGCCCTGCTGGGACCTCAACCCCTCCTGCTCCACCTGGGGAAGGGGGAGATGGAAGGGGAGATGGCAAAGGCCCAGCAAGGAGATCAGCGACTTGAGCATCGGTCTGAAAGGGGATGGGAAATCCTACCTGAGGCCCCGGAGTGTGCCTGGGGTGATGTGGTGTCCAGATACAGCCCTGGAACGGGCAGTGCTCACCACACACACAGCTGCACCAGGAGCTGGGGAAAGGAGCCAAGCTGTGGGATGCAGGCAGGGCAGAAGGAGGATGGGACCCCAGGGACCAGCAGCCCATATGACTGTCCCAGTAAGGCTGCTTAGATACAGAAATGCTCCTGGGATGAAGCAGGCGTGTGGCAGAACACAACAGGAGTGTGCAGGGGGGTTGGAGGGCAGGTTTGGGGATCTCATTGCAACCTGCAAGCGTTGCTGTCCCTCAGATGTGCTGGTGGGAAGCAAGAGCTTGTAGATGAGAAACTGTTCCCACCTGGGGAAGGATTTAACCTGCAGTGTGAGCCTAAGGTGGGGTGGAGAATTTCTCCTCTGAGGGAGCAATGGGGACCTGCAGCACATGCCTGTGGCTGGCATCAGACCCCTGGGCCAGGCTCAGCTGTCCCCAGATATTCATGTGGCTGAAGCTCTGGGCACTTGTATACTGGTCATATAAAAGAGAGAAGAGACTGACAAACCCTCCCATGCCCAAAGGGGCTGGTCCCTCCAGGCCATCAGGAGAGTGGATTTGGCTCTGCAGCAGGATGTTTTCCCTTCCTGATGGCATTACCCATGTGCTTCTAGCCATGGTCCTCTGGAGCAGCACAGAGCGCCTGCCCCATCCCTCCCATTGCACAAGCCCCTCAATGTCCTTCTGTGTTCCAGCAGATGCAGACCCTGTGGGCGATGCTGATCTGTCTGGCCGGAGGGCAGCTTGCAAGTTCCACCCTCTGCAACACCTACGGCAGCATCCCAGGCATCCCAGGGTCACCAGGACGGCCTGGAAGCAACGGCAGAGATGGGGAGAATGGCCTGAAGGGTGACCGAGGTAAGGAGGAAAGGTTGCAGTTGGGGAAAATGTCATCTTGGGAATGCCAAGAGCAGGAAAAGGCAGTGTTGGGTGCATGCTCCTGGGAAAGCAATCTATTTTCCATCAGTGACTATAGGGGTTATCAGGTGGGGGTGATGCTCAGGGCCAAAAGGGGACAGACCGGAGGAACAAAAGCAGGGTGCATCACTGATGCCAGGCAGGTAGGGCTCTCCATTGACCCTCACTCCGTGCAGGTACTGGTGGTTTCCTTCTCAGTGCCCTTTGCAGACCCATGGGGATCAGCTGAGACCACCATGACTCTTCCTTCCACTCTCTAGGTCCCCCCGGCCAGGTGGATCACGAAGGAGACATGGGGGAGAAAGGAGACCCAGGACTACCAGGGTACCCTGGGAAGGTTGGCCCCAAGGGCCCCCCTGGTTCAAAGGGATTACCAGGTCCTATGGGACTCCCTGGCCTTCAGGGGGATGCTGGTGACTACAAGGCCACCCTCAAGTCCGCCTTCTCAGCTGCCAGGACCATCAGTCCCTACCCACGCCGGGAGCAGCCCATCCGCTTCGACCGCATCATCACCAACGAGAAGGGCCACTACGAGAACCGGTACGGCCGCTTCCTCTGCCGCATCCCCGGCATCTACTACTTCACCTACCACGTCACGTCCAGGGGCAACCTGTGCCTCAGCGTGAAAAGGGGCCGGGGCGGCAGCAGGGGCGAGAAGGTGGTGACCTTCTGTGACTACGTGCAGAGCAGCTACCAGGTCACCACAGGTGCTGTGGTCCTCAAGTTGGCAGCCAACGAGTCCATCTGGCTGGAGCCAACGGAGAAGAACTCCCTGGTGGGGATAGAAGGCTCCGACAGCATCTTCTCTGGCTTCCTCATCTTCCCCGATGCTTAGCCTCTTGAAGGTGCTCTGCATCCTTTCTCCTGTAGCTGGCTGATCCCTGCAGGGCTCAGGACTCCCCTGGAAATCTGAATCTTTGCTCCAGATTTAGGGCCTTAAAGTACGTAGCTGCTGCTCTTGCACATTAAATGACAGCTCTTTGTGCTGCTGATTCCTTCCTGCCTGGGATTTGCCTCTTTCCCCCAAAATACTGCTCAGATATGCAGGGCACTGCTTCTCACATCTCTGGGTGCAGCCTGGGCTCGTTGGTGCTGAGCAGAGCCAGATGACTCATGCGGTTCCTGCTGCAGATCACTGTCAGAGAGCCACATAGCGAAGGTCTCAATGAAGGGTTAGGAAAACAGAGAGGAAAACACGGTCTCTAGCAGGAGGTGGGACACACAACCCGTGGCAGGGGTTGGAACTGGATGAGCTTTAAGGTCCCTTCCAACCCAAACCAGGCTGGGATTCTATGATTCTATGAAGTCCTAAAGCACAAAGAAGCCCTCTCAGGGTGTCTTTACTAACAGTAGAGCTGATGGACCCAAGGAACTACAGAGCTGAGGACCCCAGGAATGTCCCCATCCCTGGGGAAGGTGACAATCCAGCATCGTACCTGCGTGGGCAGGTTGCTTGCAGCCTCCAGCCCAGATGTGCTGGGTTGTGAAGCCTATTGTGGTATCCATAGGGCACTCACTACATAGGAGAATATTTGTGGGGGTCTGGGATGTGAAAGGGGCTTGATGAAGGGGATGATAAAGGGGTTTGGGGGTCGGATATGGGCTGGATTTTATGGAGCATTGCCACTGAACTCTCGGGGTCTGCTTGTGGGTCCAGGGCCCCACGTTACCGGCCTGCACAGGGCAGTGACCAGTTTGAAGGCTCCAGTTGGTCCGGGGTAAATGGCCGGCAGATGGCACTGGAGACTGGATCAGCCCTCGCATCCCTGTCCATGCTGGGAGAGCAGCGCTCGCAGGGACCGGGCCGGAGGTGAGACGAAGCTTTGCCTTCGAGGAGGCACCGGGCAGGGGTGATGCTTCCTCCTGCACCATCTCCGCTGCCTGCCTCCCCCAGCAAAACCTGCGGCTTCTGTCCCCTGGGGTGCAGCCTCCCCGTGTCCCCAGAGCTCTGCCCCGCATCAGAAGAGATGCTTGGCAATTGCATCCCAAAGATCCCCCGGTGTGGGTGCACCGGGATGCTCCTAAAATGCAGCTGCATCTCTTGTGCCGTTCTGCAGGTGGAGATGCAGAGTCCCAACTGCAACCGGGTCAGCAGGGCAGGGGAAGAGAAAGAGTTTTGACCCCAAAACCAGGCTGGGCAGCAAACACCAGCTCAGTCTCCTGAGCCCTCAGCAGGTCTGCAGCAGTCAGCGAGCCAAGGAGGACAGGGCTGACAATGAAAGAGCCTTGGCAGGCTGGAGAGACGAGCTGGCAGGATCCTACTGACATTTGATGGAGACAAATGCAAAGTCCTTCCTCTGGCATGGGTTAACCCCATGCAATAGGGCAGGCGGGGGCAGGAGGAACCTGAAGCAGGAAGGGATCTGGGATGTTGGTGGAGAGCATGTCAAAGCTTTCTGCCTTTCTGAGTAATGGATGTAATCATTTTGGACTTTTGAAAAGGTCTTTGTCAGGACCCCTCTGGAGTGGAGCTGCTTTGATTTGTAAAACTGATGTGTGACCTAACACCA